ATTTGTACTTATTTCTTGTTTACTCTTTAATATCATTTAATTTCTTTAGTTATTACATCATCTTGCAAATTTTGAACAAGATAACATAATATGTTAATTATTTATATAATTTGAAATTTTGTACACCTTTTTTACTTGGTATATATATTATTTGGTAGAAAAAATATTCCTTTCCTGAGGAAGATGAGTCGATTATTCATAATATTTGGGAAGATAAGGCTAGAATAACTTTGAATCAACAATTGACATGAGCTCGCAAGAAAGTCATGTCAAAAGAAAGCACTACAAATATTATAGATTGCCTTGATAAATGTCCGGCCTGGATAAAAAAAGATGACTAGAATTAAATGATCAAAGATGTTTGGTCCACCCTTGAATTTCAAAGGAGGTCTGAATCTGCTAGGAGGCATCGATTAACTAAAACAGATGGCAAAATAAACACTCATTCTAGAGGAATAGTGTCATGGCATCATATCGAGCTAACATGGTAAGGATTTTTTTTAATGCTTAAGATAATAACTTAAAATTGTGTATTTATCTTTTCTAATATTTATTAATCTTGAAAGCAAGAGGACGTTGGTGGAAAAGAACCTCCATGGGATGATGTCTTTTCAGCTTTGCATCAAAGTACTAAGCAGTCTGGTGGCTTCATCGACAACAAATCTAAAAAAGTGGTTATATGTATTTTTATTTGATTATTTCTTAATATAACTTAAGTATTATTTAACATTCAAATGAATTTATTGTTGCATGTATTTTATTTGTAGGAAAATTATAAAATGGAGATGATTTCAAAGTATGGAACTAATCGGGAAAATCATCCTCCATTTGATGGAGCAGCTTGGTGTGTGGCTTCAGGAGGAGTTACAAAGGGTAGGTATATGGTGCACCTCGTATGCCAAAATCTATAGTTAGTACAAGCTCTTCATCACATTCTTACTCGATGGATTCATCATATCCTAGTTCATCGTATTGAGCATTGCAAAAGGAGATAAAGGATAAAGAAGAGGAAATAAAGAAAAAAGATGATTTTATTTTTGAAATGAAACGACAAATGGATTCCATGAAAGAATATCTTGTGAACAATCTTAGATACCAGGGTGAGACATCAAATATTGGCCAAGGTATGCCACCACCTTTGACTCCATCAATACCGCCACCTATGGCTCCTCAAATAATGACATCTATGGGTCTCACATCTCAACCAATTTTTTGACCTATACCTCGACCATTATATCCTGATCAATGTTGTGTTGATCCACAATATCATGGTTCATCTTCGCAACCAGCACCATTATTGTATCTTTTGTTTTTTTTTTATTGTGTTTGAACTTAATTGTATTAATGTAAGTTTAACTAAATTTTTATCATATGAATATTATTTTTATTCTATTTTTTTATTAATGATTCAATTATTTTTAATATTAATTTATGTTGGTTATATATATTCTACAACTTTTAAAATATCCATAAATAATTAAGTAAATAAAAATTAATTTAATAAAAAATAATATAATCACCAACAAATTCTCTATTGGTGATTGTAACTAATGCATCAATCAGTAACGGAGAATTCATTGCTGATTCACAAAACTAGCAACGGATTTTTCGTTGTTGCGAAATCAACAGCGAATAAATCCATTGCCAAAAAATCAGCAACAACAAATCTACATAAGATTTTTGTCGTTGCTAAATTATTTTAGCAACGGATTTTAGTATTATTTGCAATGGAGTAGTCCGTTGGTAATTACTACATTTTTTAATAGTGATAAAAAACTCAGTTGCCAAACAATACAGCTTACTGTCGAAAATCACTTCCTTAACGAAATGAAACTCCTTCATGACCTCTTCTATACTACATTATTTTTTATCCAAACCACTCAATGTGCATTCACTCTTGGTAGACACACTATCGACCAACTTATCTAAACACGAAAACAATTGCGATCCCCTTCTAGCATACCCTTTTTTTCTCATTTTTTTGTGAACTTTGTTGCACACCTTTTCTCTTCCCACTACTGCGAGTGGGATTGCTTGTGCTGTTGGAAAAAGTGACACCAACAACCATATTATTGACATCATCAACAAAATTTGGTAGACTATCCTCCTCAGAATCTCCACTACCTTCCTCTAAATGAGGGCCCTCATTAACTGCATTAGTTCGCCTTTCATCGAAACCATCTTCATGAGAATTCAGACCCTGTGATGGAGCCCAATCATACTAACCAGTAGCAACAATGTTTGAAAACATGATATCATATTTACAACACAACGTGGGATCAATGCCAGCATGCGTAAACTTTCTTGCTCCGCATATCTCCTACAACAAGGGATAATCAAGATAAAAATGCATAAAAAATAGTGTAACACTCAATTAAACAGTTTATTACAGCTTTACACATATTGAAAAAAAAAAACAGATCTTGATTTTAGTTCTCCACCACTCATCAGGTGCTGAAATTGTTCCAAGTTCAGCTTTCCAGCCTTCTCTAATTTCAGAAATCAACCTTTTTCATAGTCTCCAATATTTTTTAATTCTGTCCCGCTTATTCTTTAATTGTGCTTTTGTTAATGCATAACCAGTTTGATCCTTAAAGCAATTCATAATATATTTCTAACCAGCTTTGTTGAAATGTGTGTTAGGTCGCATATCTTGCTCAATTGCTTTCATACATATGTCACAAAATACGTGCAACATCTCTCTAGTCCAACAAGCCTTATCTTGTGATTGAGAATCATCCATGTTCTTGGTTAAAATGCTTTGTCTAATATACAATTAACAGGTTAATTTTCCAGAGGCAATGTAAAGGACATGAAATGCATAATTTATTTTGATTAAATCACCAACTTAAATAAAACATGCAATTTAATTTAAGAACATAGTTACCACTTTAATTGCTAGGTATATTTACGTTTCTGTTTCTACAAGTCAATTTTTTCATTTCCTAAACAGACTGTCTATTATGTAATTATGTAATATTATATTAGATGCTGAGATTTCATAGATATAATTTTCTCATGTCTTGAAGGAGATGGTATTGGCACTTCTGCATGAATCGGATCTATTGTTGTCCCATGATGTTGTTGAAACAATTGTGGACAAGGCACACTTTGGTTTTGCTGTCTCAAACTTCACGGCTTCATGCTTATTTGGTTAGTTGACATTTTGTGATAGATGCAGATTTAAAAGGTGATGTAAAAGGTGATGGAAAAATTGATTCTTAAGATGTTAGAAGAGATGGAAGGGTTAGAAAAAGTAAAGGGAAGAGACAATGTTTTTTTTTTTTTTAAAAAAAATAGGGTTTATGTTGTTAAGGGTGTTTTTGGAATGTTGTTTTTAATATTAATTTCAAGGACAATTATTATAGAAAACTCTATTTTTTGGCATTCAAATTAATATCTTTAAAAATATTCCAAACTATATATATATATATAAAAAAAAATTAACCTTTAGAATTGAATTCAATTTTAAAAATTCCAAATAACCTACCAGTGGACTGAGCAATTGAAATAAACCCTATTTTCCATATCAATAACTCGAAAATATTTAGCTTGCATTCCATGCAGTATGTATGTATCTGATGCAAAGCGTTGGGCAATCCACCACACCGCCGACTCAAAACCTTCATAATAGAAGGACCTCCCTGACTCAAAACCCTAGCTTCTTCTTCATATATACATATAAATACAACCATCACCCCCGGTTAATTCAATCTAATTCTCACCTAACCTAAAGGAAAGCCCTTTTCAAGATCAAGAAGCCTTTTCTCCAAGAGCATACACAGATACATACATCTTTCAAGGCAACTCTGTTATTCTAAGGTATGAATGAATACTTGCTTGCTCCTCCACTGTTATTGTTATTGGTTTGTCAATGTTTTGAGGGCGGTTTGTATCACTCTGTTTTTTCTTTGGGGGGGTTTATTTTGTTTGGCCATGAGAACTTGTACAACTTTGAAGCTTAAGTTCTTTCGACTAAATCTTGATATATCCATCGAAAGAAACGATTTTTCACGGTTAAATATCAACCCAGAGTGTTTCTGCTTTGTACCCGTTATTGCGCTTTCTGTTTTCGTTATCTTGGACTGATTTTATGTCATAATTATTCAGGTTACAGAGAAAAGACTTTGTCTTGTTTTGATGGAAGATCGTATCAGCGAATTGTCTGATGACATTCTGTCTGTCATTCTCTCCTTTTTGACAATGCGGGATGCTGTTAAAACAAGGTTACTTTCACATAGATGGAGATATCTCTCTCCACCGCTCTCCCATCTTCAGTTTGATGTTTTTACTCTGTTTGGAACCCACGGGGAAAGTAGTTCTAAGTTTATTACAGCTGTCGATCAAGTTTTGCTAGCTTGCAGAGGTCCAAAAATAGGCACTCTCAAGGTCCGCTTTGGCCTAGGCGATGACTATGCTTTCCATGTTGATAGGTGGGTTTCATTTTCCTCTGCAATGCAGGTTGAGAAAATAGCTTTTGACTTCTCATGCTCTCCTAAAAGTTGTGGAAGTTATAATTTTCCATGTCATATTCTTCCCACTGATAAAGCATCTCATTTGAAGCATCTGTGCCTTGTTTCCTGCACGCTGAGGCTTTCTCCTAAATTCACAAGCCAACTCAATCCTTTAAGAACCCTGGATTTGGATGGTGTACCCTTGGATCAGAGTGGCCTAGATATCATCACCTCTGCTTGTCTGAAACTTACGCTGTTGAGAATGGTCGGTTGTGGACTGCCTAAGATTGTGTGCATACACGGCCAACTCCTATGTCTGAAGACATTGATCATTCATGATTCTTTGATCAGTGTTGAGCTTAAGTCTATTAATCTTGAAATCTTTGAGTTTTTTGGTCTGCCACAAAAACTCACTTTTGTTGACGTTCCGCATCTGAAAAAAGCACTAGTATGGTCGCTTTTTATTTATCGGAGGACATCGCCAGTATGCAACGTGCTTGCGAAGGATCTTCCTCAGCTTCAGTTTTTGTCTCTGATAGTAAAGGATGAGGTGCATCAAGGAACGATTACACCATCCCAAGTTTTAATTCCTGCAACTTTTGTGTAACCTGTATTCTTTTATCTATAGGTGATGCCCCTTCCTGCAACCAGTCCTAAATTCATCTCTCTTAAACAACTGGATCTGTTGATATGGCCGTTTATAGATTCTGACCTCCTCACAGTTACCTACCTGTTGAATGCCTCTCCTCTTCTGGAAATCCTACAACTGAAGGTTGGTCTTTACGTTTAATGCTCAGGCTAAATGCTTATGTGATGCTGTTAGCAATGAATCTCCATCATTTTTGCTAAATATTATTTTCTGTCACCTAGTTGAAGGGCAAATTCGATTTAATTCAACCTCACATGATATGTAATACTATGAACAATACTGGATGTCATAACTTTGTGGCAGATCGGTCATGAAGGCGAGGGAAGAAGTAATGGAGAAAGAAGAGAATACTCAAGGCATACCCATTCACATTTGAAAGAAGTTAAAATGGAAGGATTTCGTGACAAATGGAATGCGATGGAGCTCGCAATATATTTGCTAAGAAACACCATTGCACTTGAGCGAATGGTGGTTGTAGTCTCAGATTCCACCTTGCGGATGGACCTAAGACAGAGGGTCAACAATTTATTGCAAAAGGAAAAAGGCAATTCAACGGCGGAACTGATCATCCTTTGATTGCCATACTCTATTTGTGGACAGTTTAATTTCTCTTTGATAATTTATATTGTGTTCTTATTGCACTGATGCGGACAAGAAGAAAATTTTAAGATGCTTTTCATTTTATTGGTTTTGTATGAAGTTTTCTTATTGTAGTAGTTTCAACTTGGCTATTAATTTGCCTATGCCGGAAGAAAAAAACTGAACATAGCCACCACCACAAATTCAGCAGTTTCATTTAAATTTTCCTCTTCACCTGCTTTGTGAAGTAGGGATGTGCCAAAGCAGCTTTTGCGGTGATTCTAGCACGAGGGTCGAGAACCAGCATTTTCTGCAAAAACACACATCAACAAGTGAATATGATGATATTACGATGACAGCAACAAATTTCATCATAAATTAATACTGCGGTATCTGATGATAGTGTTGCAGCCTCTACAGCACAGAGAACAGTAGAATCCAAACACCAACAAATCACACCCGTCAAAGCTTAAAAACAATCTAAATTAATTGGAAAATCTTGAACATATGCAGCCAAAGAGTGTCCAGTCTCAAAGTCACCTTTTCTTTTGTGCAGTTATATTATATAAACAAGTTCAAACTGTTACTTAACTCCAAGGAGATCAATTCCATCATCGTTCAACTGCGGCACCACCTCAGTTAAATCCTATGAGCAACAATGTAATTTTATGATTAGAAAATAAAAATGCATTTTAAGCATTTAAGCAGCTAGCTGCCACTTTACCTTGGGTTTATTATTGGGAATGGCCAGACGGAATGATGGTAATGAAGAGAGCTCGTCCTCCTTAGGAGTTCCAATTATGCTTCATGCGAAATCCCAAGCAAATGAGCGGGTTTGAATAGGATATAGATAATAAAATGAGCAAGAAAGTTAATCTTCACAAAATTCCTGATACCTGAATATCTCTTTTAATACCTCTATCTCTGAATGCCCTACAAATAAATCCTTTCCCCTCACCATCTCAGCAAATATACACCCTATAGACCAAACATCAACAGCACCTGTGTAGGTTGGAGCACCTAAAAGCATCTCTGGCGCCCTATACGCTATGGTAGTGACCTGAGAAGCATTCTATCTTAGTCCAATGAAAATATATTTAATCTCTCGAAGGTCTTACTCCTACAGCATGCATAATTCTAGCAGAAAAAGACAGATGCGTTTAAATCAGTAAGTAAAAGAATTATTTTCTAACCTGGGGGCTAAGTGTGGTGTTAGAGTTGATGAAACCCCGAGCTGATCCAAAGTCACTAAGCACCAGCTTTTCTCCAGAGATGAGCACATTTTCTGGTTTCAAGTCACGATGCAAAATTCCAAGGCCGTGACAATACGAGGTACCACTGAGAATTTGTCGCATAAGGTCCTGCAGCACCCAAAACTTTTCTCAATTAAGAGCTCAGCGCAAGCTAAATAATCCTTTTACCTTTATTATGTCTGGATCTTTGAATCTTGGTGATTTTGCCTCCAAAAGCTCTTTCATACTGAAATTGAATTGCTCAAACACCAAGCACAGATTGCCATCATGGAAGAAGGCGCGCTGTAACCTGTGAATCAACTTCATATATATATTAAGGGTCATCGGAGGACAACCTCTTTTCTGAGTGGAGGAAACAGCACACCTGACGATGTTGGGATGTTCTATTTCATACAGCAGATATATCTCTCCAGCCAACCTCTTTGTAATTTCAGCATGCAAAAGAGGAATCATTTTTAGAGCTACCGCTTGATTAGTAGCTTTGTCAATAGCTGAATAAACAATTCCATAGGCTCCTCCTCCTAGCGGATAACCATCCATTTTAATTTCGTAATTCTCCATTTCAAAGTGTCCTGCGCCAACGAAATATAATAAATTCACAAATCAAGTAAAACAAACGATTATTGTGGTTACTGAGAAAATAACACTTTTTTTAGTCATATGGCTTCAAAGAGGTATTTCCTCTGTTTGGCCTTTCTCAAAATACTAGCCATCATGGTCCGGAGTAAAAAACTCTGATCAGCTTCATATATCACACTTAGAAATCCCCTTTTTTTTCAGATCATATACAGGTTGTGACACCCATCCCAACCCAGATCATCGCCATCAATTTACCTGCAGTCTGCTATGTCGCTGTTCTAACAAGGAAAACTAATGAACTGTTTAGAACGAACAGACTACGTTGTCTCCACACAACATTTATTACAAGTGAACCCTGAGAGCATGAGCATCGAATCCAAAAACAGTAACCAAAGCATGGAGGCCATCTAAGTCACATTTATGAACAAGTAAATTCTTCACATTAACGACCTCTCTCATATCAAATTCACTTCAAATAACCACAAGCTTCTCAAGGAAAAAAAGAGAATCTATATTTTCATGTAAATTGCTATCCATTTATGATCCTCTAACATACCATAAGCTGTGTTTGTAAAGAATTCTTCATTCGAAGTAAGTTTCCATATAAATATGTCCTCGCGGCCAGCAGAACCGTGAGGAAACAGCACATACTAATTTCTGTGTCCTTTTCAAATTTAGCAAGCCAATCACACGAATTATCAAACAATCATTAACTAAAACATACCAAATTCACAAATCAAGATTTCTGTATCCTTTGTTTGTTTGGCTACTAAATTGAACTCCAAAACTTTTTGCTTGTAAAGAACGACCGGTAGATAATTAATTCTTCTGATATTTAGGTCATTGATTTTGATGTTCTCTTCAGTTAGATTTTCCTAGCAACCAAACAGAGGCTAGAAAACTCACCTCTTTGAAGAAAGTTCAAACAAATCCGCTGGAGTTTGCTGCTGCCTTTGAGAGAAAATGAAAACCAACGAACATATATATTGCGTGGTCCCGATCCAAGCTAATGTAAAGATGACACGTGTGCTAAAAAGAAAACAAGAGAAGAGCGGGAATTTCCTTTAGCCATTTCACCCATTATGTTTTCTTCTTCTTAAAATCCAAGCTCTCTCGCACTTGATTTCAAGCGCTCTCTCCCACACACAAATTACTCTCCATTTCACGTTTTCTGTTTTTTAATTAGCACCTCAACTATAGCAACTCTGAAAAGCTATAACTCTGGCTGCAATAAAACTTGTTAAGTCTGGTTTCGAGGAGCCTCAAGATCAAAAATATATGAGAAGTACTATAGCATATTAAAAATAATCTAAAACTATATATTTTATTTATACGAAGTGTTTTATTATTTCGCAAACTAATTTACGTGTACAGATTTTTTTATGGGAATGATTGCTAAGTTTAAAAACCATGTAGAAAATAGGTTAAATAGCTTGATAAAATACACACACATTAAAACAATTAAAAAATAATAACCGAAAAGATTGTCCTTTAATTAAGTTAAAAATATACCTCTCACAATACGTAGTTTTTTTGCAATTGAAAACGCAGGTACCATGGCTTGTTTTGATTTCAAAGCAAGATATGTATTAATCAAACATTTCTTTAAATGAAAAGCAGCTACAAACACGGTAACACCGCACAAACCAAACGCTTGGTCATTTTGAATACTATACTAAATTCATGGGCAAATTTCCACATTTTGGATGAAAAGCAGAAGTAATACCAAACAGAAGTTGATCAATTACAAACCTGCTAGGGACTACCAGTTTTTGAGGCTGCGAATCATGGGAATGTTGCTAGGGATTTTACCTGCATTGATCATATTGTGAGGGGTTGTTTGGGCTCGTTGGAGACGGCAGAGAAAGAGTACCGGGAGCGGAGGGAAGAAGAAAGGGCCGGCACAATTGAGGGTTTTCAATTTGGGGAATACATCTCCTGTGCCGGCCACTGATCTTGTCAGTATTTTGGAAAGGCTTTTGAAGGTTAAGGCTAGAAGGAATATTATGATGTTGCCACGCAATGGGGATGTTCCATATACGCACGCGAATATTAGTTATGCTCAAAAGGAATTTGGATATAAGCCTACCACGGATGTGCGGACAGGGTTGAAGAAATTCGTGCGGTGGCACCTCAGTTACTATGGAAACAAGAAGGCTGTCGCGAGATGAGATGAATTCTTTTGGTTCGGTACTTGGAAAACATTCCTTGTTCATTATGATTCTTATAATTGTTCTTCTTAACATTTCTGTGTTCTTTCATTGCACGATAATTGACTTTGGTATATGTTTAATTGATGCTGTACAAGGAGGAATATCTCGTCTTATGTTGAAGAAGAGTGGGGTTGGTGGATTCTGTTTTGTTGGGCACTCTGTGTGCTGTATCAAAACAAAGCCAGAACCATCCTTTTCTTTTGTTTCCGATTTCTGGAATTTGTAATTGTTGTCCTTTCGGTGCTGTAGGGTTCATGACTGATACAGCATACGCTGATTGTTGGACGTGTGTCAATCAAAAAAAGAGTACACGTTAATTTCATTTATCATCTGTTTTCTTACTGAACAAATTCGACTATTGTATGGTGTGTCTTCTTTTTCTACAATGGCTTGGCCTGTTATTGACATCCATGATGAATACAGCTGCAATTGCGAATGATTTTCATGGTGAACTTACAGTGCTCTTTTACCTGGAGACCAGCCCTTGTGGCATTTATACTTGATTCAAAAGTTCACCGAGTCCTTCCTTTGTTTTCTGCTGTTCTGGGTAAATGATAGATATTAGTCATGTGTTGCATTTGACCTGGAGGTCTATAATGTTCTCTTTCATACATGATATTCCCGGATGTTGTAGTATTCTGTTAATGAATGTGATGCAATCGGTCACATTTGCTGGTAAGAGCTGATCAAATTCTGTATGCTTCCCACTCTGCATTCGTAAATTTCCCGTTGTAGTCTTTCTAATGTTCTCGATAATATGGAGAAGCTAGCCGTATCTATCTGAGATTATATTAAGCAACAAACAAGCTCAGGAACAGTGGTTTAGAATCTAACACGACCAAACACTGCCTCCAGTGAGAGATAGACGAAACTTTTGTGCTTGCTCCATTGATTTCTGGTTCATCTTGCATCTGAGACAGACTCCCCATTTCTTCTTTGGAGTTTCTTCTTTGGAATTTGATGTTGCCTCGTAAGACGGAATATAAAAGAGCTGGTTATTAAACAATAAGCTGGAGGTAAACCTTCACTGTTTATTTTGCTCATTCCCCCGAGACTTTGGAGAATTCCCTTGAAAGCATGGCATTTTTACACTCCATTTATATTGCGGTATTCTGTCTATATCTTCTTATCATGCAGGGGACCGTTCTATAATTAGATTTGTTTGCAGTGATTGTGCTCAGATGTTGAGATTTCAACAAGTCAGTTTCCGAGTTGCTCGCGCGCACACACACACAAGTTAAAGTGGCTATCTATGATCTGCACGTCCTTTATATGAAAATTAGAGCTACGTACCTCTCCCTCTCTGTACCATCGACGCCTCGGCACCTCGCCTTCCAATTCCAAGAACGACAAAAACAGCGAAATCGGCCTGTTTCTTGCGTGTGTTAATTAAAATATTTAAAAATAACTAAAGCATTTTACTTAGCAGAAGGTGAAAAAATGAAAAAGAAATAGGAAAAGAAATTTTTGTCCGCAAGTCTTTTTAATGTTCATATACTGGAAACACAGGAGAGAGGAGATGCTGAGTTTGGTGTTATATTCCATTTCATGTCTCCTTGCTTATTTGCTGGAATAGCCTTTATTCCTTTCCTGGAAAGAATAAGTTGATAGTATTCCTTCCAAGTGGAATGGTTGATCTCAGCTTGGTGGATATGATTCTGAGAGTTTGCAGGCAAGAAACTTTCTTGCATGCCAATGAAAGATATTACAGGTTGCATATAAATAGATGCACTCGCTTAGCGTTTCATGCTTAGCTGGCTTGTTTCCTTCCCCGTTTCATTCATCAATATAAATCCTTACTGTCAGCTAATAAATTGCGATGTGATAAAAAGCTTCTGAGCAAGTATTTGAGGCATTCAGGATAACTAGCATTGCATTTACTTGTTTATTCCCCCCTTTCATGCAAGGGTGACTTCTTGATCACATCAGGTATCGTAAAACTACAGTTGTTGTGACATCCCAGCAATGAAAAAGGCATCAACATGATGTTCAAAGTGTTTTTAGAATTACGAAAGCGTTATGTTTCACGGAAATACATCAAAATAATATTTATTTTATTTTATTTTTCATATCTGCATATTAAAACGATATTAAAACATAAATAAAATTCAAATTTTAAATACATGTAATTTCAGGATAACACATGCTTGTATCCATAGAACATACCGAACCATGTAATCCTATAACAGTGATCCAGTTATAAAATAACATGGAAGTGGCTGTCTTCTTCGCAAATTGAAATAGGCGAGCGTAGCCCACATGCATTTAAACTCTGCTCACGTCAGAGTGGAAGCTAGCTCTCTTGAGCCAAACTCTGAATGCTATAAGCTGTTAAGATTCCTTGCAAGACACTATAAGCATATTACATCTTCAGCAAAAACATCATCCATCCTCAATTCTTTTGCATTTAGATTCTGGGAACTGATCATAGATGCTGAATTCTGACAAGGGCAATAAGCGAATGCTGGGAACCAACGGAAGTTCTGAAGCAAACGATAAGCTACTAAATGCTGTTCTCAAAAATAGAAAAAGATCGAAATGCCTATAATGTAATATGGTGCATGCTTCTCAAAACACAAGCACAAATTAAAAGCAATTGAAAATTCAATTTATTATGAATTAAATCCAAATTGAGGTTGGGTGTACAGGGCCAGCATATTGCCAGAAAAAATTTAATGTAAACAAGCTATATACTGCTAACTTAATTAAATTGAGTTCTAAATTGTGAAATTAAATCTACTGAAAATCTTTATTTGAGAGGATCGTGATCCAGCATGGACAATCCAGGATAAACTAATAATTCCACAGCACCGTAAACATTCGTGAGCGATTACATCTAGAGTTTGTCATAAAGGGAATTAGCTAAAAATATAAATGCATCCATGCACGCCCCTTTAAATTTCTGTCAACGTTATCATCGTGATAAACAAAAAAATAAATAAAAAAAATCAATCGCTTGTTTGTGAATGCGGAGCTCAAGTTTATCTGATTCAACAATCAACATGCATACACATTGAGAGCATAAAGAGTAATCCAATACATAAATAAATAAATTTCTCAAATTTCAATGACAATTAAGATGCCATGGAGCTTTTCTAGTTGTAAAATAGAGAGTTTTGGTTGGTCTCGAGTCCTTTAATCCTTAAGCTTTTACCCTTATACTAGCGCTTTTCTAGCAGTAAAATAGAGAGCTTTGGTTCGTATCAAGTCCCTTGATCCTTGATCCTTGATCTTTCATCCTTATTCTTTTGTGAGGACTGGCTTCGGGTGTCCTCCCTTGCGG